CGTTTTCTTTATTCCGGTTTGGCATGGAATGGGCATCACTGAATTCAATTCCCGTTCTCTTTTTTTCTGGGAGGGTACGAAAAAAGAGTTCACTAGTCGAGGCAGCATGAAAGCACTAGTGTGCCAGAGCAGCAATGTCAGGAGCTGAGAGAAAATTGCTTTCAAATTCTGGCAGCTACAACGTGTTACATCTTTTTTAAGCAATTATATTCGTCGTCGAGTCAGCGACCGAATGAATATACGACGGTGCTGCTTCGATCGCGGCTTCAAGCGCTTTCGTTCTTGTCATTTGTGGGGAGTTTTTTGTTAGTCAGACGAGTTCTGAGGTCCGTAGCTGAGAACCGCAGCAGCAGCAGCTGAGGACCGCGCACACTCGTCCTGGAACTCCGCCGCAGAGAAAAGGGCAGTCTAGAGGGAACGGCCAGCACACCTTATCGGCCTCCTTCTAGCTCTCTGGCTGCTGCCTCCTGCCCTATGCCAGTTCTAATTGGCAACGATGGCAACGACTGCGCAAAAACGCCGAATAACGAGCTACGATTTATCGTTGATAAGGAGAAAATTCCCACGAGGTGCTGTTGGTGTCCGTTTTGGTGAACGATGGAATAATGAGAGGGTGATGACGCAGGGCGTCCCATGGGTGGATGATGGTTCCGTCTTGTTTTCCACACCTCTTCGAAATTCAACGTTGACTGAAACAGCATTTGACTTACTGAGCGCAATTTGTTAGTCTTTCACGAGTAAGGGCCTCTTGTCCGTTTCAAGACCCATAAAGCTCGACGGGGTCTACGAGCTGGCCCTATTAGCTTTGTTGTGAACGAGCATTTTTCCTTGTCGTTCCACTTCCATCTAGGTTCTCTGTTTTGTTTTCCCTAGAATTATGATAATTTCGGGATATTTTTTTCCACTCTGGGAGTATTCGGACCATCATTCGCCACGGTCCGTGCTCGGGTTCTACTCGATGTATCCGAAGTTACTGGTTCTTTGTTGTATGCAAAGAACTTTCATTTCATGCAATGCTTATCGGGGGCTTTTTCTCATTTTCTTGAGCATTTCTTCCCATTAGTTCCAACTATAAATGTAGGTCTCAGAATCTATCAAAGGGGTACTGTCAACGAATTGACTGAAAAGCTGGGTCACCGGTTAAGCCTACCTTTATATCGCGACTTTCCATAGGTCTCAATGTTTGAACTTTCACTTTCGATTTTACACCTTCGAGGCCTTACCGTCAGATCAGGTTTTCAAATCACTAACCTCGGTAACTATGAGCCCTTAGTTTTCTTGAAAATGAATAGAAAAAAAAGAACTTTGGCAGTAAAAGAAGGGAAAACGCAAGTTCAAGACAATCACTGGAAAACTAGGGCGTCTCAACAACCCACGTAGTAAGTAAGAGATTGTGATCAAGACATACTTTGGTGATTATATAAAGATGCATGAGAATATCCCTGAGGAACAGGTTCACGTGCGAAAGGGGGGTCCTCTCGAAAGCAAGGTTGGCGCCGTTCGCCGTTCAGCCACCATTTGGTCGCCGTAGCTTTAGTTTCAGTTATATATTCGTAGTCACTAAGAGCATTCTGACCTATCTAGCCGCAAGGCACCATTGATCCGCACCCACCCCGTCCCGATGTTCTACCTCTCGTCGCCCCTCGTCGCTTCCCTCCAACCACCATTCACAACTACATCGTCGTTCCCGCTTCCATCAGATCCTCAAAATAAACATAAAGTGTCAGTCCCCAGAGATTCAAGGAACCATTAGGATCGTTTGATGGTTGTTCTGGGGCTAACCCGCCACTCTGCTTGCACTGATATCCTTTTTGGGAGGCGCTTTCGTTGGCACCTCGGTAGTTGGGGTTCAAGAGATCTTACATCCAACAGCTCTCTCCTCAGATGGCGTCCGCAATCTCTCCAGCCCAGTAGGTTCCCTAATTGTTATTAAACATGCCATGAGCTGGACTGCTCTCATAATTGCCTTCTGAAGCAATGTCGAAGGCGCATTTCCGCTGTACGAATTCGGTAATGAGCTCGGTGTCATGTTCTGTCATAAAGACATCCCCAGTGCCCCGAGGGTACCCAGGCATTGCAAACATTTAGTGACCTTTGTGTTGACGTTGGATGACTTTAAGTTGTGTGATTTCAAATGTTCAGGCGGCTGGTTGATCAATTAACGCGACCTCCGCGGACCTCCCATGGGTCATCCTCGGGTCATCCGAGTGATCTAGATTCGCGTGCGACCTTCAATTCCATTGCGCCGTGACCCCACAAAGCAGTGTCGCAATAACAGTGTCCCAGCACCCGTCACGATACGAGTCCCCCACATACCCGTGTCAACCCCATTTCTCGTCCCTTTCTCTGACCCAAAGTTATGAATTTCTCCCTTTCCGATAGGAAATGGCGACGCTGATTCACCCCCTGATGGGACCTTTATTGAAAGGTCTTTCGGTTCAACTCTGTTTCCACAGCAGTGCTATCAGCTGTGATCGGTCAAGAGGTGATAGATAACACCTCGTTGATGGCATTCACGAACAGCTTGACCCCTTTGTAGGGTTGAAGTGCCACGTGATCATTCCAAAATCATTTTCTCCGTAGATTTTTTTCTTTCGATTCCGCTTTGTAGTTCATGTCCACTGGATTTCTTTTACGAACTTTGCGATACCATCGAATTTTCGTTCAATTGTCTATTACAGGCGGAACTGACTACACAGAGCCTTTTGCTCTTATTGAATTAGGCTTGCCATGATTTTTTAGACGGCCGTTTTCTTTCTATTTGAAGCGATACTTAATTATGTTTGTTTATGTAAACTGCCCTACGATTATTCGTAGCTTGGACCTACTAATTAGTGTTGGTCCCTAAATTCACGTCCGTTTTGTCTTCCAGGACTTCTTTCAGTTTTTACAGGCTGCTGCCGCTCGCAATCACCTGCTCCAGAACCACGGCGCCGTTCCGGCGGTGATGCCGAATCTCTTGCAGCACATCTCTGCTATTCGAAATGCCCAGGTGAGAGACGGCTTTTCATCGCATTTCTCTCCCGAAAACCTTGCTCTTTTTCAGCTCCTTCAAAGATATCACCCATTAGCTTTCAAACTTGTGGTCCAGTTCCTCTTTTGCTTACGACCGACCAGCTTTTGCAATGTTTTACGCACGAATCGCCATCGCCGAGGTATAGTGCGCGCAGTTGCCGCTCCGTTGATCGCTCGTCGCTCGTCAGCGATGACAATACGTCATGAAGAAGGAAGAAGCCGGCTAAGGTCAGCAACGCAGCAGATCCGCGAGCTGACCGCGTCGTTAGCCCTTCCAAACCGGTTCCCATAAGCACTCGATAATTGGGCTGTACTTGACCGCGGGCAGTCCCGCTTACGTCCTCACAAGCATCAAGTTTTGGGACGCCACACACGATCGTCCCTGAAGTTCGCGCACCGCTGCCCGGATCGCGATCTCGGGGATTGAAGGGAATGACCCAGGCTAGTGCAGAATGTTTAAGCCATGCATTTGGCCAACTTGATCAGATAGTAGACCTAAGGTGAACAGATGGCAGGTGACAGAAGGTCGTCGCGTGCTGTGCGTACGGAACCAGTTCTGGCCAAGTGCCCATGCCAGACGATGGCCTCCACCCTGATCACGCCGCCACACATCCACCTGATTCGCGCCAGCCGGCTGGCCGGCTGCCTCCTGCCGGCCTCGCGTGCGTGTGTCTCTCCCTCCCGGGTGAGGTCATCGTTGTTTTGCGGGAGACGGGCGCGCTCGCCCTCGACCCCGCCCCCTAATGATTCGAACGCCGGTAATAATAACCGCTGCCAGCCAGCTGGATTTTCGCCAACTTTATCTATTCTCAAGATGTCCCCATGGGTTCTCCCATTCCGTAACAATCGTGTTCATTTTTGCATCTCCGTGAGCGTACGTGTGAGCGAGTGGTGTGTATGCTGTTATTGATGTGGGAGCTAGTTGTCGTCGAACGTCGCATTGCATGAAAATTTTTGACGGCTCCTGGCCGATGGTGGTGAATAGGCTATTGACGCGTGATGATCGCCTCTATCAGTTCTTTTATCAGTGTCTTCGTTTGACCTTTGGTTTGCGTCATTTTCTCACTTCAACTCACTCAACCCCCATGAAGGCAGGTCATCGTGATCGAAACGCCTCGCCCTCGTTCAGTGGCTATTCACATATGGATATGTAATAAAGCCATGGGGTGCGTTCCGCAGGATGAGGCACAGCTTTCGATGACGAATGCAGCCATGGCGCTTCGCACCTTCACTCGTTATTCAGTGGTTCACATCGATTGTCTGGCCTTTGACCTTCTCGGCTGCCTCCATTTTCCTCCTTCCCCTGCTCCTCCTCCACCTCCTCTCACGTTCCGCCGCTCCCTCGCTCCTCACTCAAGTGTGCGCTTTCAGTCTTCTCAGATTTCCAAGGCTCGCCTCTGTAGTGCTGGTTAATTGGAGACCTTTTTGAGACTCATCCGCCAATGAATTTCTCTCATTGCACCCCTTCAACCGCTGGCGCGATGCTTTGGCATTTGTCAGATGGACTTGCGAGAATAGGCATGCTGGCGAATGAGAGGACATGTGCTAATGATGATCGCTTCCGGGTGTTTTTTTTTTCATTTTCATCTTTCGGGGAGAAAGCGACCGAAGTTTCTCTGTTTCCTTGTGTTTCTCAGCGTTCGGTTTCTCCAGCTCCTATGATTACTGAGGTGACTTCTGCTATAACAGCCGATTCAAAGGGCAGTAAATCGATGTGCACGTTGATTGCATTCCTTTGATGTCAGCATCTGCTTAAAAGTCTATGTTCGCGTTCATCATCCTCGTAGTGGACCTTCAGAGAAAGCGGGAAAGTAGGGATTGAGGATGGAGGGAGGGGTGGAGGGAGCGAGTTCAGAAGGTCTAAATCTATGTGTGCACGTTGGCGCCTCTATGATTTTTTCTCATTTTCCTTCTAGCATTTCAAATTTTTTCTTATAAACATGCAAGTTACAACATAAACATTTCAGCTGGCGAATGCGGGCGTGATGTCCGGTGTGCGGGTTGGAAGTCCCCAACGAGCTGATTCGATCTCGTCCCGAGCTGGCGGAGAAGCAGGTAGCGCTGGCGGAGAACTGTGTGTCGTCTGTGGCGACAAGGCCAGTGGTCGGCATTACGGCGCCGTTTCTTGTGAAGGCTGTAAAGGCTTCTTCAAACGATCCATCAGAAAGCAGGTAGGCTGCTGCAGGCTTTTCTCTCTTTTAGATCTCCCGCAGCGCGCCCTTTCATCCCCCCTTGCTAGCCAGCGCCATCGACGAGATTGTTACTCTGACAACGCAGAGAGGTCGCCTAAGGGTATAATACCCGCGATGATGGCAAATGAACTCGTGCACTTCCTACGGAACAAATGAGGCTAATAAATAACAATTACCAGGAAATGAAAGCAGACCATTTACCAGTCTTAAGAGTTCACTTTCAGATTGGTTACATGTGCCGTGGAGCCAAGGATTGTCCAGTCACAAAGTTCCATCGCAATCGATGTCAATATTGTCGTCTGAAGAAGTGCCTTTCGATGGGAATGCGCAGTGAGTGTGAGTAGCGCCGTTCATGTTGCTACACCATTCCTTTGCTTAGGTGTCCTTGGTCGGCCAGTCATCCTTCCTTCGAGGTTCCGATCTGCATCTGTGCCATCGGCAAGGCTCTAATCCAACATCCATCCTCACGCTCGTGCTTTTGCAGACCGTATCTCGCCCGTGGCTATGGTAACCCTGAGCACGTTTTGGTAGAGCAAAACAGGGCACATCGATTTTACGACAGCCATCTATAGCTATTCTAATTAGCAGTCTGCATGTCACGAATAACAATTATCGCCCCACCCTGCCATGCAACGCACACACACCACCCTGGCCGGCCGCTGGCCGCCCCCATGTGTCACTAAAGTGAATCTGGGCAGGTCGAGTGACAGTCCCTGATTAGTGCTACAAAGCACCCCTAGCAGAGATCGATATGGCATTCGAGTTAAGTATGTTTCAGCTGTTCAAGCTGAACGGCGTCCTGTGCAGCAAATCTGTGCCGACAGCCCTCCTACCATGGTACAGAGTCACAACGCCTCAGCCAATGCCACGGTAAGCAACAATGACTTAATGGACATCAAATGAACCCGCTTTTTCATTAAAGTTAGGGGTTAACAAGGAAATTAAGACAACTCGTATTTTTTCTTAAATTAAAGCTTTTTTTGCGTAAACTTCCGGCTGAGTTCTCCAGTGGGTGCAGCAGGTCCCGCGGTGTTAGGCTTGATTCTATTCCAAGTGGGGCCGAATTTAGGACAACTGAAGGAAGTGTACTGATATACTACAGGAGCGAAAGAGGATCCCAAGCTCTTTCTCCTTAGGGAGTTGAGTTGCAGGTTCCTGTCTCCTTTGTAGCTACTTAACCTAGCTCCTTACTACTGATATTGTACTAGTCAAAGAAAGTTTTGGCCCCTAGCTACATGTAGGTTCCACTGTTCTCCTCAGACGGGGAATTGGGATATCGAGTGTTGAGGAAATGGGAATTGGAAGTTTAGTCATCGTATTGGCACACTCCTACGCTGCCCCCATGTTGTGTCTACGCGAACCATTTATTTGGTCCAAAAAGTGAGCGTACAATCTTTGTTTACAGGAGAGCTTACAAGCCAATATGTAAAACCATACTAAGGAAAAAACCCAACTGTAGTTGAACGTTCCCGTACAAGAGTAGCCGAAGTTTTGGTGAAATAGCTTTAGCTTCCTTCGAAACCTTCTTCGAGTGGAAGTCTTGAGGTTTCCAGAAGATTTGGTACTCATTCAGCTGCTATCCATAGAAAATTCATCAGATAGCTCTTCAGGTTTTGGACTCCAATCCGTTGATGAACGGACTTTTGGCGATTGTGAAGAATGAGCACGAACAGCTCTTGGAATGTGATAAAGCGATAATGACCGCGAAAAAAGAGGAGGGAGCCAGTTCGCCGATGAGTGCCATGGCGAGGCCGATGAGTGCCAGTCCTACCGTCGACTTCAGCGGCAAAAGGGTACGGTTAGATCGTTGACCAAGTGCGATCACTTGAAAACTATGCTTTCCCAGGAGTCCGTTGGGGAAGATGAATGCGGTATCGATGTGATGACTGCAATTGGTATGGCGCCATCCGAATCACCGTCATCTTCCGGAGCGGCTTCATCGGTTAGCGAAGACGGACCCATCTTCAATGTTGAGGTACGTTCGTAACCTCTCACTCAGAGCAGCAAAAGAGTTCCTCCTGAAATTGATTAGGACTTATTGTCTCACTCAAAATGCCATCTCCAGGGGCTATTCCGTAAAGAGTAGTCCCTAGCACCATTTCTTAGTTCACTTAGGTTTAAAGGACCAACTTTTCAGCGGTGTCGATTCGAGTTGCCCGTGCCACATCCGCCTCCAGCCGAACTGAACATTCAATTCATCTGTGAGACAGCCAGTAGATTGTTGTTTTTATCAGTACACTGGATGAAGGACGCTCGAACAGGCTTGAAGTGAGTGAACTGGTGGCTTGCCGCGGACTACTATGGCGCAGTGCATGTGTGCGCTGTTGCGGTGTGAAGATAGCAAATAATTGACTACCTGATCGATTCCTCTAAGAAGTTCTGACCGCAAAGAGGTTCTTTTCTAACAATAAGTGATTCCGTCTGAAAGACACAGAAGACTATTCAAAGGCCCTCAATGATTTGTTGCTGTGAGTGGTCGAATTGCTACTGAGAATCTCAGAAGGTTATGTATGCAGCGGGTTGGGGTGAATTTCAAAAACGTTCGAATATGATGTGTTTCAAATCATTGAATCTGCCAAGCCCTTCATCCTCTCAAAACTGTTTGCAAATAAATGGTTTGCCCATCCAGGCTCGATCATATTGCTTCCCATTTGAAGTCCCGTATTCAATGTCATCTCAAACGATGGGCTTTGGGCGATATGTTTGTCACAATTTAGAGCTTTTGTAAATTTGTTCTTTTAGACCGTTTACACTGGAATCTGTGATGAAAACCAAATGGTGCGATTTGTTCGTGCTAGGATTGATGCAATGTGCTGAGGAAGTCGGACTGTCAAGAATGCTTGAAGCGATGAACAGCCATCTAGCTGCTTGCAGTCGAGTCGGTATGTTTCACTTTCAGCTTATTTTGAAATTTTTCTGAAATACCGAGGACTTGCGGGTCCTTCACACTATGAAGTAAGGAAAGTTTTGTGTACCGATCAAGTTCAGATTGAAAGGATAAAGTTCTTGGCGTCAATCAATCCCGTCTGAGGGATGCACCCCCATACTCGACTTCCATTCAGAATCGTAACGGCGTAATGAGAGCGTATGTGGCTAAATGACTTGCGGCCAACCGATGTTCAAGTCAATGCTTTTTCCTCCCAGACAAGTCTGGTACCAATCAACCGACCCCAGTAGGGATGGAAATCTTAGTTGGCCTAGACAGATACCGATCCGGGATTTAACCCCTGACCGTGCATGTGAGATAGTGCGCCATGTGCCAGTTCAGATTTCAGTGGGTCCACTAGAAGTCAAGACTGAATTTCATGCAATACCAATACTTCTCTGTCTTTATCCCTTTTTGCAGCTGCCTTCTCGCCCTTATGCGATTATCACTGGAATTATTGGTACAGTTCCTTTTTTTCCAACGACTGCGCTGTTCACGAAAAGCTAAGCGATTTATTGATTAGGCTGAAGCCGACTATAGCCTGCACGAGATTTTTGAAGCTATTTGAAACCTCCAATTCCATATCGAAAGCTTTAATTTGTCAGTTGTATGGAGTTGAAACAAAGGAGAAGTTCAGACCGCTTGGGGCTTTGATTTCTGGCAATTTTTTTCTTATTTTCTCTCATTTTATTTTGAGTAAACAGTATTTTACGAATGTTAGATTATTTTTTGATTTACCGGATTAATATTGTGGAAAGGTCTCATGAGGGTAGTCTTGTGGTTGTTTGTGTCAACGGTAAGGGAAGTGAAATAGGGAAGACGGCGACTGTGAGGGAAGGAGTCCCTTAAAACATTTTTTGAGGCTAGGGCAAAGACCTCTCTTTGTCATGGGCATCTAAACCCTTTAATGAAGCTCGTGTATGTCGCTTTTTCTTACTTCCCACCTCGGGTAAGTAGATTGGCATCAAAAACTTCGGCGAAAAAGCCATTTCACCGCTAGAGGATTCAAACTCTGCAAAATCTATAGCTCATTGTATTTCCTCGTTATCGGCTCTAGGAGTTCTAGGAACACTCAGAGAAGGTTTTATCACCTATTTCATCTTTGACATCAATTGCCATGCCGCTTCTATCATTTCCCTATACATGCATTTTTGTGAATAATTAACCTCTTTAACGGAAACTCCTGATATGAAACTAAATAGGTGCGATCACTGTCTATTCTTCTGTGGTGGTGTAATGGGAAGTGGCGCTCTATCACACGCGCACGGTCATAGGTTGGATCCCGGAACCTCATCCACGCAGACCAACCGAGTCTTCCGTTTCTCCGAGGTCGATTAATCGGTACCAGACTCGTCTGGGAGGATAAAAGCATTGACTACATCGGCTGGCCACCGCAAATCATTGTATAGGCCACATACGCACTCAATATGCCGTTACGACTCTGAATGGAAGTTTGATACGGGAGCGCAACCCTCAAANATGGAACAACGCTCAGGGACTTGATCCTTTTTATCTCTCTTGTGAGCACGGAACGCATATTTTTCTAATGGGCGTAGTTCTTTTTTATCCGGAAAATGTTTACCAATTCGTTTACCAATTTTCACTTCGGGCGGCATTTTTTCAAAAAAAAAAAGATTCTTGTATTACCCGCTTCCTGCATTTTTCACTTTATTCCAAAGTTAGAATTCACATTAAAAACTATATCTGAATGGAACTGGCCTATGCTTGTAGGACAACTGAAGCCGGACAAGTTTGAAGAAGTCAGCCAGCAGATCAACTTTCTGCTGCTTCTGGTGAATCGTTTCGCAGAAGCAAAACTCAGCCCCATGGAGTTTGCTTATCTGAAACTGGTCTCGTTCACTTCGAATGGTTCGTTCTTTCATTCCAGACTCCGCCTTCCTGGCATAAGGCTCATGCCCTTCTTGCAGACATTCCAACTTCCACATGTGCCAGTGACACGCGGCCTGTGAACGTGACTGCTTGCCAGGAGCTGTACGAACACGTGATGGCCTCTTCTTCAAACGACGACTCAACTTCAGAAGACAATGAGACTCACGTCACAGCGACATCAGTCGGAGCGGCTATCGAAAGGTACCAACTCATTCAATCTTGTTTAGCCACTGCCGGGTAATCAGCTGAGCGTTCAGGTACTCCCGGCTACTCCAGTTGCTGCCAAATTTACGATGGTTTCGCGAATCGGTGCTTGTCGAGCTGTTCTTTTCCGGTCTAATCGGGAACCTATCAATCGAGACGGTGATACCGTTCGTGTTGAAGATGGATGTGATGAACGTATTTGAACCATCCCAAGGCTCTGATTCCATCCTTCCTAGCGCTAGTTTGGCACGCATACTTTCCGGAAACTAGCCCTATCCATCCATCCATCCTAGCCTTTCACTCCATCCATTCATTTGCCACCCGCTACTACAACTTCAATGTTATGTTGTACATTCGAACCAAGTCCTTCATTCATTATAACCATATTCTAACCATATTCATTATTATAAGACTTTGATAGTTCACTAATCGTCTTGTGCTTTCGTCTTTCTTCTGTGAGAACTTATACATGGATCATATCCCGACTAGCCTATAGATTATACTATACATATACAAATATATTTATATTTTTATTATTTTGATTGCCCGCGTGTTTTTGAAATTCTGGTTCCGGTGTTGAATCGTTTGCATTGTTAGAACCCAGTTCCATATCCTTTCCGAATTTTCCTTTTTCTCTCCCTCTCTGTCCTTCCTTCCGAAATTTATTTTTGTTTTTTGCTGCTAGAGGATTGGCTGGAAGTCAATGCGCAGACTGCCATGTCATTCATTCGTCGTTGTTTTTCCCTCCCTCCTATGTTGACCACCCTCTGAAGGGCTTTATCGAGAGCTTTAGAGACGACCGGCTAGACCTGTGCACCCCACCCACTCAGTCCTTCTACGCATGGATTGATGGCGGTGGCGGAAACCACACCGGTCCGGTCGGTCGTCCGTCCGCGCGCGCGCAATTCGGCCGAGATCCCGTGCTGCTCTTCATGTCTTTGCAATCTGTATCTCCAGTCATCATCTTGCTTTTCCAAAAAGTACCTCTACTATTACCATAATGCAATCGAGTTCCAATCTGCATTCCTCGTTTCCACCCCTTTCCGAGTGTGGCACGACAGATTTCAGATCGGACTCGGATGATTCTAGAAACAGGATATCAAGTGGATTCCTCTCTCTTCAGTATATGTACATTCGGTCTGAACCAGTGTAGATTGCCGCGTAGTTTCGTTCGCTAGCGTTCATTGGTCGAGTACAATTCCGAACATTAAAAAGAAACTCATAGGTGTTGCAATGTCCTTTTTTTTTCGAAGCTTATACTATTGTACCTAATAAAGTGATGGTTAATTTAAGTTCATGAGACCTTTGGCAGCAATATAATGGTAAAAGTCAGGCTTGAAGACCGGAAATGAATGAAAGTTTTCCAGTTCCAGCACTCGATGGTCCTGGTCAATGTTCCGTTCCGGTTATTGGGTGAACCCGATCCCAACCTTTTCAACAGTGTTCTCAGAACCTTCCAGTCTTCCATGGTCTGAGCAAAAAAAAGAGCGAACATCTGTTCGGTGGTAAAATTTGGCGGGTAAGTTGCTTGGCGACTTTTATGGCAAAGTACACTTGTCTTTGTGAAGGGACAATGAGCGCTTCCTCTTTCTCCCTTCTGCATAAAAAGAAGCGCTGACCATTGAATTCGGAGACATTCGGAGGCATATTAGATAGGAGTTTCCATGAGTAGACTTTTGTTATAAACTCTCATGGTCTGAGAAGCTTTTCTATACAACGGGAAATCCTGGAAACATTACCTAAAGAGGTGAATCCTGGTTTGTTTTTCCGACACGTCCTGAGTGGCGGTACGTAGGTTTCCAACAGACAGGACTATGAATATACTACATAGAAATTGTATGTCCCAGGTTCCCAGGCTTTCCAATTGGGTTCCCAAAAGTTGTGAACGTAGGAGTGAATGAAAGATTCGCTATTCCTTTCTGAACCTAAAGGATACCAAAGATCCTAAAAGAAAGAAAAAGCGACTGAGCATTATAGGAACTTCAACTGTATTTAACCACTGCGCCAATTGTAGGATGCATTGGAATCTGTCCTATAAGAGAACGCTTGTTTATGTTTATGTTTATGTTTAATTCGCTGTTAAGGCGAACGAACGCAGTAGAAACAACCTTCAAAAATGACTGTAAACGTTTCTCGGAGCCGATATCGATTACTTCCCAGGGACAATTTATATTCCAGAATTGTTCGATTCAGAGGTCTGTTCAAAAATGAACACAGGGTTTGAAGTCGATCAACGTCTACCACTTCACTCTCCTTCTGAAACCACAGAGAGACGACTACCTTACACCATTCAAAGAGCCCTTCTTTGGCCGAAGTTTTTAAGGTGGCTTCAAATCTGTTTTCCTAGCTCTCCTTATTTTTCGGCTGCTTTCAAATAACTTTGAAGATAGAATATTAATGTCAAAGGCCAGTTTTTTGATTAAATTATCAAGGGCCAATTTTCATAGAATTTGAATGGATGATTGAGAACATACACAGCAGCAGCAACACTGCCCAGATGTGATGTAAACCCGGACGGATCGTATTTCCGTCCTTTGCTTCGCTGATCTGGACTACGTTGCTGCTATCATCAAGGAGAAACCTGATAATAACGTTTGAGGAAAAGGTCTTTGGGCTTTGATCAATCCCGTCTGAAGAATGCGTCCCTGCATTCTACTTCCACTCAGAATCGTAGTGGCGTACTGAATGCGTGTATGGCCTATACAATGACTTGCAGTGACCAGCCGATGTACGCAGGGCTTTTATCCTTCCAGGTAAGTCTGGTACCAATTAACCGACCCCGGATTGATGGAAGGCTTGGTTGGCTCAGGCGGATATCAATCCGGGAGCATCAAAACCGGTGACCATGCGCTACTGGCCACTACACCACCTTCGCTCAACCTGATAAAATCTGTGCTACAAAGACGCAGACTACCTCGCGCTTATAACGGTAGAATTAAGCCGGCGCCTCTAATAGACTCGTCACGTTTTTCTATCTTCTTTCCAACTTCCTTTCCCCCCCCCCCCCCCCCCCCCCTCATTGCGTCAGCTCTACAAATGGTGCACAAGAGAATAAGCCATACGTCAAGATAATCGACACCAGCATACGGCCGTCAGTTTCATCAAATTCCACTGAATTATGGTATTGCCTGACAGAAATGGTAAATATAGCATTAATGATAGAGAAGACGTCAGTGACCCTCTACGATAATCGGCACGTGTCAGAAGCCCATAAATATGGCGGTCAAAAAAGTTGTGCTATCAAATGAATCTGATTTCTGCCTTTTGTTCGAAGTACTCACGTGTGCTCCAATTGTACCCTCGTGTATCAGCAGCCAGTACCTTGCAAGGAAGCCACACTTGAAGAACCCACCCGAATGGATGACAAGCACATAGGAGGCAATCTGGTCTTGTTTCCAAACAAGGTCAAACTGTACTCACTCATAGTTGGCCGGTTAATTACCTACGTAAGGTAGTGTAAAGGTGCAAGTATGTGTAACATATTCCGCTCATAATATTGTCTATGGGCACCTATCTCCCTCTATCTGTACGGTAAAGTTCTCCACGTTACATAAGTATACCCCACCTTTTTTGACTGCCATGTTATCCTGTCCCTTATAGCAGCATGAATGAGTTGCCCTTTCCATCCTTTCGGCCGAAGTCTTCTGTAGGAAAATTTCGCTCCTGGAAATCTGATGGAACTTCATCGCATTCCTCCAGCCAGTTGTCGCCAACGTTGGCTCCAGTCACGGAGTTGTGATGCAGGGACGTACTCAGTAACGTAACAAAACAGTTTCGTTTGTTAGAAGGAAAACAGGCGTAACATTGGCAATTACCGTGATAATTGATACCGCCTACAATGTGTTCACATGATTCATTCTCACCTGAATTGATAGGAAATTAGGTGATGGGCAACCATGCGAGCAGGAGGGAATCAGTATAGAGTTTATTACACCCCCTACACATGTATTGTAGATGAGGGTTTGATCAAATAGAGCTCTGCATAGAGCAGAAAAGGGCAAGCATGTTGAAAGCGTAAGGATCCCTCAGAGACAACGTTAGTCGTTTCCGTCATTCTCGTTATTGAAAAGTTGAAAATTCAAGAACCAGTACCATACCTCGAAGACCTCCCTTGTCAACATCGAAAAGGTCGAACGCAAAATATTGAGCGAAAAACTCAGTAGTAAAGGACAACTTAAAATGACGAAAACACTTTTCTTTCGCCTCTTTTCAAAAGAAAGTCGAATGAATGACTCGGGCTACGAAAAAGTCGATTTGCAGGTGAATTAGCTGAATAGAACGTTCATAAACAAAACGATTCCTAACCGCTCACCAATAATGCAAAGCCGAAGGAGGAGAAATAGCTATGAGAGCACACGTGAGTATTGAGGGAGACGCAGGAACATAGTGATTGGTCATATTCGTAATTCATCCATTTAATGCCGAGATCCTTTTCATTCTGAATCCATGCACTCTATGAAAGCAAGTAGAACATGAAGTAAAATCCATCAACTGTGTCACCAAAACAATAACTTCTTTCACTCGACACACTTCATGATAGGCATACATATTAGTCCTTCCCTCATGATCGTGGTAGACAACGAACCTTGCCCAGTTCCCACATTCAGGTAATAAAAAAAGATCACCCTTTGTCCACTTGTTGTTCACTGAACATCACCCGACTCCGACTGCCATGACGCTCCACCACTCAAAAGTGATGGAAGCTCGCCTCTTCCTCAAAATATACACTACAGCCTTTGCCTATACAGTGCTGCAATCTCAAGGAACCACAGCTAACAGTGAGAGAGCAGGAGACAAAAGAGGGAAAGGTATGAGGGACGGATTTGCCGGCCACTGGAGGACTGTCTGCAAATCCCTTTGTCAGCTCCTATGAGCTCTTAAAGTCAGGTTCACGATAAAAATGGTTTCTGAGTTTTCAACGTAGTATGAATTCGAGGCCCCCTCTGATATCATGTGTGCCGAAGTCAGATCGAAAAACTTCCTGGATAGGGGACAATAGGGGTCCAGAGATTCTATCGTGAGAAATCTCCACCCCCTGTTAGGCTGACCACGAAATCTACTTATCGAGCACCACTTTCGCATTGGAGCAATATTAGTAAAAAGTCAATAAGCTAGTCGACTGCCTCTGAATATTACTTATATTAGATTTTATTCATATTCTGCAACTGTACTGTGTTGCTCCAAGCCTCCCAAAGGAAGAGTGCATCTACCAGTGGTAAGATCCACGATGCTCTACGGCACCGAGTGTTACCTCGTAAGTAAAAACCATGAGAGACAACCCCACTCCGCTGAAATGAGAATGCTGAGATGGGCCTGCGGTGAATGCAGCTGGTTCGGATCAGAAATAAAGACGTTAGAGGGCAGCCATGCAAGCAGCTCCAGACCAGCTGAGGATGAGGGAATAGAGCCAGGGATAGTCAGGGCATGTACTGAGAAGAGCACAGAATCATCCGATAAGTGGAGTTCGAAGCCCAGGGTATGCGACCACAAGAAGCCATAAAGAAGAGATGGCGAGACATGATCAAGAAAGATTTCGCCGAAGCTAACGTTAGGGTGAAGAAGATAAACTCTAACGTTAGGGTGAAGAAGATAAACTTTGATCAAGACTGTGCTCTTTCGGACGAAATAATTTGCAAAAGTACTTTGGTGGGGCTTCTTTCCCACACTTGGCTTCAAAAGCTTTCTCTGAACAATCGATCAAAGAATAATCAACATGTCAAGTATATGACAACCCATTGAAACGAATCGCAAAAAAGGGGACAAACATCTCTGTTGATTTCTCTATTGTCAAACGAGGCTAACATTGTAGAACAACCTAGAAATTCATTACTTGTGAAACACATAGATAGATAGCAGATTGGTTTTGAGCTTACGCTATTTAAAGAACTGTCATTCGTGCCCTCAGCTCTCAAACGGATTTTCTGATGAGTCAAGAAAATCACTGAGGGAACAAAAATCTCGGCACATCCGCGGCTTATGGTATTAATATCTTGCGAAGTGCAGCTTGCAGGGGAAGCGTCCCAAGTCGTAAGTGCGACTGGCTGCGCATGATGCTTAGGTAGGCTAGGTTAGGCCTTTTATATTTCGGGATTAGAGAACAAAAATAAATATTAAACATTGAAACTTGCCTCACTGTTTTCAAAAATATTCCCTTTTAAGATCTATACACTTTTGCATGCGTTTGAACCAATTGTCGAAGCACTTTTGCCATTCTGATTGAGGTATCTCCAAAACATGCATTCTGAACGCATCAATCGCTTCTTCAGGTGTCGAAAAACGTTAACCTCTCATTTTATATTTACGTA